AAGTTGCCCATTGCAAAGCAATTAACAGATCACAAATTTAATTTTATGTTCCAATTATATTTTTAATTGCTGAACAAATAGACATCTGTTACATAGATAATATAGCATGTTTAGTAGTTTTTTTTTATCCTATGCCTTGATCGCCAGTTTATTTAGTGGTGGTGAAGAAATAACGAAATCTCATGAAAAACAACGGAGTTATGGGATTGTAAACAGAAATATCGAGAATGGGAATTCTGTACACTCTCATCTTCAGTCCATATTTGTAATAAAAAAGCGAATCCGGATAGGTTCGAAAAGCGCAGAGCGGACAAGTGAATGGGCCCATTTAATGATCTGTTAGCTGTAAGCTTTAAGCTATAGCTCCGTTAAAAGTGCACTTCAAAAATTTTGTAACTGCTCAACATTGCCAGAAAATAATTTCCATCCGAAGTAGAGAGGCAAGTAAAAGTTGTGTGTTGGGCGCACCAGATTTTTTAAAATTTGTATCATTGATTAGAATATTTGCAATAAACAAATTTTAGCATAAATTTTTGATTAGTAGCTTTTGATTTTCTTTATATAATAAAAACAAAATACTTAGAAACTAAACTCCATTATTATTTAGTTTATATATACTCTAATTTCTCAGTTATTTTCACTATCATTTACTGGATATTAATGTTGATTTAGATAAAAAAACTAATACCTTTTTAACATATTAATCCTGTGTATGTTTTTCTAAATTAAATCCAATAAACCAATAATGGACCAACCAAATTTGTGTGAAATTGTGTTTTGTAAGCCGTATGAATAATTTAATCAAGAATTATCATTTCAAAACAAAAACTCCAAGTACACAATTTGTCTTAATCACTATTGGACGTAGAGCCTTGGATTTTGGATCCAAATTAAATTTCTTAAAAAATTATAAATATATCAATGATTGTTGGTCCCTTATCGTATATTTGGATTCAATTGTTATTTTAAGTGAAAAATTGATTAAGTTAGTTGTTTTTTTTAAATCTATATCTGTGCAAGCTCATGATGACTTTCCTAAATATAAAAATAACTGCTTTTGTAGTAAACTTACACTTATCATTTATATTTCAGGTGCCGAGCCCAGTTCCCTTGGACAATGTGGACTATTTCTTTCTGGGTTTAGCTTCTTCAGTTAAACGAATGCGACCTGCGAACCAGATAACTTTGAAAAAAGCAATCGCCAATTTAGTTTTTGACACAGAGATGAAAGAATTAGAAGTTACTAATAACCAGGAAGCTACATCATCTTCTTAATACTGTTGATTAATTTTAGAAAGTTTTAATAAACTTCTTTATACCTTTCTTTATGTATATATGAGGTGTAAGTTGTTTAATATATTATTATTATAATTTTTTTTATTTTGTTATGTAAAAACTATTCATGAAAAGAATGTATGGCTACTATTTTTAAAAAAGAAAGTTGATTTTTTTGTATTATTGTTCTTAAAATGATAATGAAAATATTTTGTTTCATGTGTAAATATTAATTATAAGTTTTTTCAGCCAACTCTGAAATCAAAAATTATTTATTTATTCATTTTTAATTTCATACTTACAATAGTTGATATTATTAATACGAATTTGACACCAGAAAACTTTATAAATGTTAAATATCCAAAAAATTGTGGAAAAGAATAATATTTTCTTTTTCATAAATATTTTTATAAACATTAATGAATGAAAATATTTATTACTGTTAATAGACTTATTTTATTACTGTTAAAAAGAAAAATGTCAGTTATTGTAATTGACAGTAGGTATGCCTTTTAAAAAAATGTGTTCATATTATCTAAATGATTTCAAGCATATTAATTTCACTAATTTATTTACAACACTAATTCTAATGAATACCCTTTTTTTTGTCAAGATGATAGATTAAGAATTTAATAAATTGATTTAATTTAAATTGATTTAATACGCAAAACATTGGATTAAAAGCATACGTTTGTTGTAATTTAATGATATAGTTTTTTAAGACTTTAGTGATCTCCATTTTATTTGTTTTTAATTATGTTTTTTTTCCTACTTCAAGTATAGATATATTGTGATTAGTATTGTCCAAAAGTTTGGTCTGTTCCTACATTTATACCATTATTATTATTACTATACGGTCATGTGATAATAAATTTTGTTAAGAAAAGACTGACTAATTTTATAGTTATTTTTTATATATTTGTATTGTCCTTAATAAATATGTGACAAAAATATATTTTGACTATTTTTATAATGATCTCATTATTATCATAATTGTGTACTTGAGGGTGCTTATAATGTAAGAAACTGATACTCGGAAATGTCTGTTAGTAAAAAATAAACCAAAAACAAAAAAGGTGTTTTAATTCACTAATACTGAGAAAATTGTAAACAACATGAAGATTTATATTTCATATTGAATATTTAATAGTTGGCCGTTGCATTATAAATGAAGGAGATGGCCCGGGTTGGCGGTCATAAATAGCCTAAATAGTGGCGAAACGTTGGCTTTTAATAAAATAGTTTTGCCACTATTTAGCCTATTTATGACCGCCACTCTGGACCATCTCCTTCATTTATAATTCAGTTAAAATTCACCATTTTTAATTTTAAACTGTCATAATTGTATGCACTCATTTGTACATAACAACTAGTTTTCACAACTGCCTTAGATATTTAGGTTATAACATCTTCTTTAAGTTTTTTATTACAATGCATACTGTAATACATTTTTAAAAATCAGTATCATTAAATAACAATAGATACAAAGCCATTGAATAAATAAACACATCTCAAACCAAAAATGTTAGAGAGGATACAGTGGTCACGTACCAAGGCCTGAATTTATAAGGTATTAAATACAAAAGAAAATTCAAATCTTAATAATTTTATAGATTTTAGTAATTAGAAATATCGATTTTCTCCCACCCTTTATCACAATCTTTTTTATTTTAAGAAATTTAATTCATTTTTTTCTTTTTCTGAATATTATTTTTTTTTATTGAGAAATGTTCATAAATTAATACTTTTTTTTAATTGCAGTATTTAAATATTTAATTTTTGTTATTAAGGCAATAAAATATGGACTATATTAATTTAAATCAGGGTCAGAGATAGGGGGGGGGGGAGTACTTGCCCCAGGTAGCAGAATCTAGATTGCACCAAATGTCAGAAGAATATATTTTTTATTTTATATAAAAAATATTTATTTGGCGTTATATTTTTTTTTACTATTGGTGGATGTAATATATGAAATACTATTATAGAACTGTTGACTTTTATTGGAAATTGGATGAAAAAAGGGGTAGAACAATTAAATTTGCCCAGTGGTAAAATTTCTAGTACTGATCTACTCATAAAGGTAATTGCTGATCTATTGATAAAGATAAGGCTCTCAATTGATAAAGGTATTTGATATTTATTTTAAAAAATATTTTTTATTATTACATTCATGTAACTTTATATTTTAGTGTAATATGTGTATACCTATTATTTTAGTATATACCTATTATGAAATAGGTAATAAATTATACAGTATCTGAACAATGTAATGTTTATAATACAAACAACAAGACACGAATTTTAAACAGTCTATTGGCATCTACCATGAATAATTTTGCCATATTTATTTTATGGGAAATACTTATACTTGCAATACTCATACTGCACGAAACACTTATTATTTAGCATCTAATACTGATTATTATATATTATATTATATAGCGTTTAATACCTGATATAAATAGAATTTGATAATTTAGAGCAATTATGTAAAAAAAAAATTTTGTTGATACAATATTTGTTTTAAAGAATAAAATGAAAATAGAACTGTTTATCCCATTTCAAAATATTGCTAACATTTGAATAACTACAATATTTTACTTTTGGTTTTCAAAGAAAAAATTGATTAAGTATAACCGTTGACAGATTGAACGTTTAAGATTTTTATAGATCTATCTAGCCAATGATTGATAATAGCAGAGACATATTTAAAATTTGTTATTGATTCCAATTTGATCATATAAAGTTTAGGAGCTGATTAAGTGTAAAAGATCGCAGGAAACGAAAAGTTTGCGTTCTAAAAGTGAATTAGAAAGTGAGTTGAAAATTATTTTTATGTAATTCCACACATACATAAATTATTTTATTTGATCTATAATAATTATTTATACTGGAGGATTATAGTGGAATAACAGTGATATTTCATATGTACTCACATAACTTATAAACTGAAAAAATATCACCATAATAAAATAAAGATTAATATTTAATAATTTTGCTTTTAATGCATGCATCTGGTCGACTAAATGGCTTGAGTTCAAATTCAATACCCTCTAAAAATAAACAGACAAAATTCGAGCAATATACTGCAATTTCAGAGTAAGTTACAGCCACTATCCAAGAAACCTTAGCCCTAATGTGTGGTGGCCCAAACGCTTGTGTCACAATTAGAATAGGAACTATGGATCATTTCATTTAATGGAAGGACTTAAAGCTAGCCATTTTTAAGTAATTTAAACCATTTTAAATTATCTCTTCAAGGTCGTTATAAACGATATCCACTTTATATTTATTTCCAATTCGAAAAAAATATTTACGTACTAAAAAAATTCCCTAACTTTCCCCATTTTCCCAGGTTTTCCAGGTCGGTCGCCACCCTGTTGAACTGTTTGCTGGTACCTGATTGGCGTCTTTATACCTTTTGGTAGACATCATGGGAACATCCAAATAAACAAAAAAAAGTGATGAATTTCTTCGTAAACGTAAACTTTTTATCTTGTGCATTTATATTATTTTTAATGGATAGTGTGGTCGAAAATAAAAAATATTTTTAATTTATTTTATTAAAGTCTCATTTTCATAAACAATTTCTGATTTCCGCGTTAAATATGATTGTAAACATTTACAACTTATGATCCGTGCCTGTAATTAGCTCGCGATAAGCTGCAAGAGCCGCAATCAAGAGAGAGGCCAGAGCATTTTTTTATCCCCAAGATATCGAGAACATGTGCCCATGTCCCAGGGGAGTTGTGATGTCGTCGGATGGTACGTATCTTCTGGAGTCAGTAGTACAGGATCTTCTCAGGAAACCAGGACAAATAATGGTAAGTTTTACCTTAACTCTAGTTCCTAAAAGATCGATAGTTAATAGTTCAATTAAAAAAAACAAACAAACAACATACAAATTTTTGCAGATATTAAAGAAATTCATGCTTACATAGGACAGTATCAAGTAACACAATAGAAAGGTTTCAGACAAGAGTTGTCTACGTTCAATTTCCGTAAGTAACGTTAACGTTTAAAGCTGATTATAAATCTGAAGAGTTACAAAAAGTTCACATATTTTGTTCGATGCGAAACAGACTTCTATCAGAAAAACAGGATATTAAAGGGCGGTGTTTTTTATTTATTTAAAAAAAAATTGTTTTTTTTTGTTCGATACGAAAGAACTAAAAATTTATATTTAATATTGGTGGTTACCAATTGTAATATAGTAAACTAGACAAAATAATATCCAATAATAGATAAACTGCATTTGATAAAAAGTTTTATTAAAATTATAATTAAGAGAAAAAAAATCTGGTGTGCGCAACACACAACTTTCATTTACCGCTCTACTTTGAACAGAAATTATTTTCTGGCAATATTGGAATATTATAAAATTTTTGAGGTGCATTTTAAACGTAGCTAAAGCTTAAAGCTTACAGCTAACAAATCATTAAGGGTATTAAAATAACAAAAACTTTATTTATTACATGGACGGTAGGTAATAAAAGTCTTGTTACTCCATCTGTTTTTGTAAAGCACATGATTTCAGTCTCTGAGCTATATGTGCCTTTCAGTTGAAAGAATGTTTAACTCCAATTTCAACATTTTTATTAATGTAATTTTAATGATGTTTCTAGTTGAAAAAGTTATATCTATTCAGACAATGAGAAAATTAAATTCAGAGTGGGTGAACGCAGTGATGAAAGATAGAACTGTGAATATAGGAACATATTTTGCACTAAAAACATCACTAAAATTAATAATAAATAATGTTGAAATTTGAGTTAGTCATTCTGTGAACTGAAAGGCTCATATATACCTTGAGAGTTTTGAAAGTATATCTTTATATTCAACCTATAAATGATTATGGATTGTACACCTATTCACGGGCGGATCTACGGGGGGGAGGCTTTCGGGCTGAAGCCCCCCCCAAAATGGAAAAATATTACCATGTTTTATGGGAAAAAAAAATTTAAAAATACCTCTTAAAGTATTATTGTTCGTGTAATTACATTTAAAAGTACTTAAGGAATAACTTAAACACCATTTCATATAGGTAGTTAGTTTCTTTCTATTTTTCCAAAGTAATTATCGTTATTTTTATGAAAAAAAAAGGTTTCGGGCTGAAGCCCCCCCCCCAAAAATTAAATCCTGGATCCGCTAGTGCACCTATTAGTTATTAAACTGTTATTTTCCAATGTATAGTTTAATAAAATATAATTACGAGATTTTAAGCGGATAATGTTTGGATTTCGCAAAGGAAAAATTCATCAATTTATTCACTAATTTAATTTCCTAAAAAGTTATATGACGATTTTCTGAATAAACGGTCGTTGATACCTAACTAATGTTTGCCTGGTGGTCGAAATTCGAACATTAACTATTAAAAATTTGAGGAAAACATATAATTGAATAAAAAATAAATTCAATAAATAAAGAGTAAATCACGATTCAAAAACCCTCATTAATTAATATAAACAAATAACTATAAATAGTCAACAAACAATTATACGTCTTTGAGTATATTATTGCACTAGACATACCTATTTTTAAAGCGAACCATTCTTTAAATCAAATGAACTGAAGATAACCATGACGTTCGATAAAATGTTTCCCAAAATAATATTCACAAAAGAAATAGACTCATTCAAAAATATTTTATTTTGTTCTTGTTGAATGTTCTGTTATTGTTTTGTGCATAGACTTGCCCTTTGCCATTGAAAATATAAATTTCAAAATTTTAAATAAACGTGCTCTACTTGCTGCCACATGTAAAATTGTCCATGTGAAATTACTGGCCGTAGCAATAATACACACATTTTTTTCAAAACTTTGACCCAGCGATTTGATTATGGTCATAGCAAATGCAGCTATTAATAAGAACGTTGTTGTTTAACATTCAAATGTTCGAAGTATTGTGTTAGAAAATATTAAATTAATTCTTGGAATTAAAATTCTTTTATTTATAGTAGCCCCCGTTAGTACTTCACTCATTCGTGTTCCTTTAACTGATGATTGTGCAGTATTTAAGTTAATGTAATGTATGTGCAGTATTTAAGAATGAGTATAACTATAGAATGTACTTTTAAATCTAATTTATGAGTTAACATTCAATGATATCATATCATCTCTTCAAATAATAGTCCTGATTACATCATTAAATGTAAAGTTTTTGATTTATAAAAAACCAAAATAATGGAAATCGACTTTGCAAAAGAAAAAGTACTCAATGTTTAAAATGATATATCTGCAACAAATAGTCCAATTTCGATGGGTTTTTTTTTATAATATTGTAGGAAATCAAGAAAGGTTGTTTTCGGGAAAGTATTTTATATACATAAATTATGAAGGTTTCAAGCAGAAACTTTAGCCAAATTTCATTAAAATTGTTAAAGCCGTATTGGCGCTACAGTCTAAAGCGAATCACGTTTTTCTACCGCCATTTCGAAAGGAAAGCTCTGATGTTAATGAAACTTATACAAAAACACTTCTAAATATTATTGCGACGTTGTGTTAACATTTAAAAGAAATCGGTGAAGAACTTCCGGAGATTAGCCGTTTTAAACAAACTACTATTTATATTTTTATTTACAAACTATTTAATATTTTTATTTATTGATAACAATAAAGCTCGTCAATAGCTATTAAATAAAAAAAGAAGGAAGAAAAACGGTTGAATAAAAGGGGCTGAACCGTTTTGTGTTTGCCTATTTATATAAAGATATCAGATCTAGAATTATTAAACTACAATAAACGTATTTAAGGTTATAATCACATGCTTTATACATCCATGAAATATTATTATATTTCACATAAGTACTATGAAATATTTTTTTAAACAATGCCATTGCCTTGATTAGTTGGATTATAAATACTTTTTTCCAAACTTAAAAAAAGTTTACATTTATTTAGTAAATTTAATTTAATTTCCTTGTAATCATGTGATTTCGGTTAAATAATATTAGTTTTCACAAATTACTATTTATAATTTATCACCACTCTGCATTACTTTCTACAATTTTCTATATTAACTATTGTTTTTTTCTAAAATTCTCAGCTTTCCAACGATATATTATACTATAACTTCTGACTAGTATTTCCAGAAATTCATTTTCGACCTAAATAAATATTTGCTATTGCCTCTCAATTTTTCAATTAAATTCTTCCAGCAGTTATATTTATCATTTTTTCGTAACTATTAATAATGACGATAGTTAATATTTAAAATAAACCAAATTAAAGGTACTTTAGAAGAAGACATGTTGAACATTTAAGCTCTGTAAAGTGACATCAATGGGTTAGGACTTCAATGGTATTAATGACCACTTTAAAGATACAATGAGGACCGAGTTTAATCAAAATCGTTAGAGCCGTTTTTGATAAAATTGTAAAAATGTGTTTCACCGTTTTTTTGTCTTACCCCGATCATAGATCATAAACATACCAAAAATGCCTTCTAACGAGAAATCACAACTAGATTTTGAAGAATTTCGTCTCCTAGAAGAACCACAATTAAAGAAAAGCGATTAAGGCTCCAATGCAATAAGATCGATATTGAGTAATCTTTTTTTTTTTAAGTATGATTAATTTCATTATATTAACTATACAGGGTGTTTCGTAATTTCACGGCACTATATTAGATATGTGTTCACTAACACAAAATAAACAAAAAAGTTCATATTAACATATATCTCAAACTCATTTATTAAACAGATATCAAATGTTAAAGATTTATTATTTATTATTACCATTTATTTATTATTATTACAACATTTAGAGTAACTGTTCAAAGGAGCCTCCATTCTGTTGAATGCAATATTCAGCACGAGGAATCCCTGCTTCTCTGGCCCATCGTATAGCATCAGGACGGTGCTTGATATTTATGGATGGGCTTCCACGTTAAAACGTGTATTTGGTATTAAACACGTTAAACATTGTACAGTCAGTCTTAATGTAGTAAATAAATAATAAATCTTTAATTTTTGATATCTGTTTAATAAATGAGTTTGAGATATCTCCCTTGGAGCATTGAGTAGCTGCTTTCACGATGTAGTTGTGGGATGTTTTTTTAAATAGATTTCCTCTGTCTCTATCTGTATCTTGAGGTCTCTTGTTCCATATGGCTCGTTTCAAATCTAATTGTAGGATATTTATGAATCTGAGCCACCCATATACAGGCAATAAACTTCGAAGATGCATCTATAGTTTTTCGTCATTCGAAGTTATTCGGATATTTCTCCAATATAAGAGTTTCTAACTCTCGATCACATTTGTGGCCAAGGGATCCAATTCACTTGGCCACTGGCCCCTGGAACTCGACGAAGAGAAGTATGGTTGATGTTTAGTATCAAATCGCATTCGTCCACTCTAAGCTCGGAAGAACTTTCATATCCTAGATAATTAACTTAATAGGTCATTGGTTTGACTTAAAATGAAATGACTTGCATTAGCTCCAATATACCTTACCAGTAATTTTATTTCTCATTAACTAAGTAATATTTGTACCTTACCGAAGACATCTCTTTGGCGTTTCAGCTGGACGACTACCACGAGGACAACCTGACTCGAGAACTGGAGGAACTGCTGAGAGACCTGGAAGATCTTGACCCAGACTGGTCCCAGAGCGGGTACCCTCAACCCAGGCCAGAACGGACGGCTCTCTGCAACGAAGAGTGCTCTAGGTACTTCGGTTGCCAGTCTATGGTCATCCTGGGTGTGGATGTATTAGGTCAGGAGGCCATGGTGAGTCTCTAAGCCCACATTTGTACACATGTCTTGTAGATATGAAAAGTGGTCTACAACATTTTACTTTAAGAGTTACTAAAATTTAAAACCAATATATACAGGGTGTCCCGTAAGTAGAGGGAAATATTTAAAAGGTTGATAGGTTTGACATCAAGATCTACAAAAAAGTTCATAAAAGCAATCGCCCAATTTCCAACAGAAAAGTGGGAAATTTAAGATTTGTGTTTTGTTAAGCGCGTCACGTTTTTTGTTGACTAGGAAGCGATAATTTTTTATTTATTTACTTATATGTTCTACCCTGCCATGCCACTATGGCATTACTGGTGTTTGCAATAGTTTGTTATTAGGCATGAATGCTTAATAACACACCACTACTAGTTAACATGAGCAAGGTGTGCACACATCTAGCAGTTCTTCTGTTCTATCTTCTTCCTTCTTCTTTATCGGTTTCGGCCTAGCTTTCAGAATTTGGAGGTCTTCCTAGAGCTCGCCCTCTTCTTCTGCGGGCACCAATATGGGAGTGAGCAGGTCCCACCGCCGTCTTCCATTCATTTATGAAATCCATAATCCGCCGGAACTTTTCCTCACTGACTAACTAAGAAAACTTATTTTCAGTGAGGACATAGATTACCGCGGCTCTTGTCATAGTCGCACTTAACGTTTCAAATGCGGTGAGGGTCGTGACCACGAGCTCTACTGTTCCCGCAACACTACAGATTGGGCTTAGAGGATCTACATCAATGGCCAGACCATGAAGTTTAGCTCAAAATCCTCGATGCCCAGTGAGGAACTGGGAAATCCAGTAGTTTTGGGGGACCCACCTTGCCTGAAGCCTCGACTGTACCGTGAGAAAGTACTTCCTCAATGCACTTCCTTTAGGGGTAGCTACCCACCGCCAGTTCCATGCTTCAATCGTGTCCTCCCGGACTATCTTCTTCCATCTATCAGACGCCTCCATAATCCTCATCTGCAGATTGTTAGAAAGTACTTTAGAGTCTTCCCTCATATAAAAATATTTCGTCACTTCTTCTAGCAGGTGGTCGAGAGGCACGACCCCCGTTAGGACCTGCACAGACAGCTTCATGCGAAGTTGTCCTGTATGCTCTGGTGAATCGAAGCAGAGCTGTCCCCTGAGTCGACGCAAGCCTTTTTTTTGTCGTAGTGTGTGGTTCCGGAACCAGGAGGGAGACGCATACCTGAGGATACCCTCCACAATACCTTTATAAATCGTGATTGTGGTTGGATATCTAAGGTCCCAGAATGCACGGGCGGATCTACGGGGGGGGGAGGGGAGGAACTTAGCTGAGTTTTTCAGCTCAATAGCCCTGTTTAAATGGTTTTAACAATGAAAAACTAGAGTCACATTTTAAGTAAATTTTGTCTAGTTTACTCTGGAACAATGTTTAATTAAATAATTAAATCAAATATTTTTTTTATTAATTTTTTCCTATTCAATAAAAAACGTGAATCGATGAAAAAACACAAATCTTAAATTTCCTACTTTTCTGCTGGAAATTGGCCAATTGTTTATATGAACTTTTTTGTAGATCTCTGCTATCATTCTTTTAAATATTCCCTCTACTTATGGGACAATATCACATTCTACTTTGATAATATAATCTTCTTTTTTCTGGGAAGTTGTCAATTTATTTTAGTTATTTGGTAATAATAACTTCCAATTGGTAACAATTGAGTATATTTCTATTATCAGCGTTACATGTTAACAAGTTAGTTGACGTTTCGGAATATTTATTCCCATCTTTGGCACTGCAATCCCAATACTCTTGTGGATGCAAGAATTAAATAAAATAATAATACCCAATTATTGGTCAAAAGGAGGATGTTGCTCTAGATGAAACATTTTAGAACATGAATTAGAAATTTGACGATGGAGCACATTATTATTAAATTTAAGCCTTGCATCCACAAGAGTATTGGGATTGCAGTTCCAAAGATGTGAATAAATATCCCAAAACGTCAACTAACTTGTTAACATGTAATGTTGATAATAGAAATATACTTAATTGTTACTAATTGGAAGTTATTATTGCCAAATAACTAAGATAATATAATATTCTGTCACATGGACAATGGTGTGCTTCAACCGAAGCAAGGGAACACTTTTTTTTTTATATCCAGTCTGTCTCACCCCACTCTGTTACCAACCCATTCTCCTTTCGTTTGTTGCCCTCTCTCTTTCATTCTCGGTCTGCTACCAACGGATAAACTATAAGGAACTAACCCTTGGTAAAAACCGTGAATATTTGGAACTTTTGGATTTGAATAGGCTTTGATAATTGATATTGACTTCAATCCCCACTCCCCAAAATACAAAATCCATCTCAAAAAAAGATTCTCAAATTTTAACTATACACCCCTAACGATGGGTGGATCATCTAGTATAATATAAAATGCTTGATATACAATTAAAAAATATGTCTTAAAAACGATTTATTAAAATAATTATGTTCCGTTGAAGAGAGAGTGGCACAGCCATCCTTAGTTAAGCTTCTGTTTAATTTTATGAATACTAGCTAATATGCAATCGTAAAAATATATCATATTAATTTTTCAAAGTAAGGGAAATCTTGATCATGCTTGACTTTCTGGTTAGTATATTTTATTGTACTGAAAAAAAAATTGAATGAAAAGGTAACTTATTGTATCTCATGATGTTTTATTTTTATAGGTACCAGAATGCTATGAAGTAACAGCTAGTAAAGAGTTTGCTTGTTGCTACCCAGGATGTGACAGGACATACTCTAAAGCCTCTCATCTTCGGGCACACTGCCGCCGCCATACCGGGGAGAAGCCATTCGTTTGTTCTTGGTCAGGATGCACCTGGAGGTTTTCCAGGTCTGATGAACTAGCCAGACATTCCAGGTGTCACTCTGGGTATAAGCCTTATGAATGCAACCTCTGTGGTAAGAGGTTCAGCAGGTCTGACCATTTGGCCAAGCATTCCAGAATACATACCAGAAAGGTCTGATAGTTTCACAAGAAACCACAATCAGTACAATATCAAACAGATTAACTATTATTTCTTTTAATGAAATGGTGGAGAATAAAGATATGGTGAGAAAACATCTGGAATATACATGAGTAACATTTGTTTGATAAACTATGTTTTCATGTTGCTAATGTATATTTTGTTATCATTAATGAGATTACTCGGAGAAGCAAGCTATTTTATTTAAAATAATAAATGCAATTTATAAAAAAATTGATTTCGAAAATTAGATTAAAAGGTGAATGATTGTTAGAAGAGTACTAACATGATCTTTTTCAGATTTCTTTGTAAAGCACTCCAATAATTTTAATTGAAATATAGAAATGAATGACTTTAATTTTATCTGTAAATATTTTATTTTAATATTTTGTAAAATTTATTATAATTCTTATTTTTGTTATCCATAAATTACTTTTATGCTTTTATTATATTACTCATATATTGTTTGATTGATGATTCTATTTATATAATTTTATTTACTAAGATAATATATACATATTTATTCACTGTACTCAGTAATATAAAGGAATACTTAAGACAACTTATATAATATTATTGTCAAATTACAATAATTAAAAAATTGATTTTTGTTTTAATTGTGGTTAGAGACATATTACTATAATGTTAGCTGAGATTAAAAAAAAAAATCAGCTGGGAATAGGAACAAAAAAGAAATAAGATATGAAAAATTACATAAAACTAAATAACAACCAGCTTACCTGTAGGTTACAACTCTTGGGTTTTAACTATATCAAATAAAAAAATATAACAGTTAAAACAACAGCAGAAAGTATATTAAATCAACAGGAAATAACAGTTGAAAATGATATACAACTGTTCCTAACCAATTGTCGGAATGAAGTTTTATTTATATTTTAAGGTTTACTCTTGCTATAAACAATTTTAATTCACATTAACTTCTAAAAATATACTAATAATAGAGAAGGTAGATTTTTTAGGATACACAACATTCAATAAAATTTCCACAACTGTATGAATTTGCATTTGGTCAATCATATACAGGCAATATACTTAATTAATTTTTTTTTTGTAAATAGGCTGATAATAAATAATTCAATTTTCCTCTTTATAAATTTAATTCATGAACCATTTTATTTCCCATTTAAAAACATGGTATAATGATATATGTACATATATAACACCAAACTAGAGTCGGATCAAAAAGCTCTAGTAAAAATGAGCTGCTCTTTTTATTAATATTTTTAAGTTTAAAACAAATTAAAATTGACCAAAAAGGTTCCAAAAGCTTTCCATGAATTACTCAAATAAATCTAAAACCAAAATATTAAATTCACGGCCGCTAATGATGAGACCATTGCCAAAACCAAATGTGTTAGAGAGACAATGCTCAGGTAATAGTGAAATATAGTAGAGGTAGTAGAGAACATGGCTTAGCATGTTAAAGCATAAGCTGTGCCAGTTCGAAGTCAACCTGAGTGGGATGAAAATTATTTCCGAGCAGATCCATGGACTGCTTCACAACCTTCCCACAATGGCTTGAATAGGTTTGTTTATAACTCTATAATAAATTTTTCATATGCCAGAAATGGTGATATGCGGAGAAATTAACAAAAAAATAAACAATTTTTACTGATACCCATAATCAAAGAACTGGATGGATTTCATATTACCTAATTGTAATATTGATAATATCTCAAAAATATTATTATATCAGGGAAGAAAGGGGCGTTTAGCAATTTAACTGTACTTGTTTAATCCAATGATCATTAAAGAAAAACTTGGCAATGCACATTTATATTACATCATATGATAAATAAATACAAAAATGAACACGTTTTCCTCGGTGATCAATAAGCAAACAATATTTTATTTTTAATGATTACGCTTGAAAAATATATATTTTTTGTAATACACTACGGAAGTAGGTATTTTGGAAGAGCTAGATAGAGAATATGAGAGCTGTCATTTAGCAAACCTGTTTGTTAGTATCCAATGTGTGAGAAGATTGTATTGAGGAAAAGGAGAATTTTGTAATTAAAGTTTTATTGGAAGTTAAAAAATTTGAGTCTAAGATGGCAGAAGGTATTAAAAGATAAAATTAACAACCTCACATTTAGTTGTGCTGGATTTACTCTGGCCTAGGTGGTTTGAATTTAATTTTGTAGTGGAACCGTAGAATGAATCTTGACCTCCCAATCGGGTTGGAATATGTTGCTAATACCTATATCACAACCCCTCCCCATATATCAGAAATAGACAGATGGAAGTAAAAGAAAAAAAAGGTAGTTAAATTTTTTTTTTAATTTGAATTTTTAACTATCAAATATTAAGTATATCATATAAAATATCTAAAAATCTATATTTTATACATTTACAAACAAAGAAATAAATGAAAATAAATATCACATAAAAGACGGTCCAGATTAGTTAGTATCAGAGCCCAATCAACGTATATGGGGATCCTGTTAAGAGACTGAAAGCATTTGTTTTAGAATTTCCTAAATATACTTTTTATAAATAATAAAAGGCTTAGCGAACCTGAAGGTTCGATGCCGACATCATTAATCGCTTATTACACACCTCCCTCCACCGTTTGCCGTCCAAACCCAGTCCCTTCAGATCGGCTTTAACGCAATCTTCCCACCTTCACTTCGGTTTACCCCTCAGACGTTTACCATTCGGTACAGCAAATATTAACCTTTTAGGAATTCTATCATTACTAAGCCGTACAATTCACAAGCCCATTTGATTTGCTGCTGTGTAATCACCTCAATTATATTAACCGGATACAGTTCACATAATTCTTAACACATAAGACATTGGTCATCCCTTAATGTAAGCGGCCAAGTTTCACATCCATAAAGATCTGTAGATAAGATAATGGTTTTACAGATTAAGTTTTTAAGTTCCGAGACAAGAGGGGCGAGCTAAGTAGTTTTGTCACAAAAAAATAACAAGCAATTCCCTCTTTCAGCCTAACCTTAATCTCCTCTTCAATTTCATTTTTTCTAGTTATCGTAGACCCTAGATAACTAAACTTCTCTACGTGTTCAAATTTATTACCTTCAAATATCTAAACAATACATTAATATATATATATAATTACAATATTTTTTATAATTTACCTTCATATATTATAACTTAAAGTATCAATTATAGTCAGATAATACGTCATGAAATACACTTAAATAAGTTAAAACAACTTCTGTTTATTCCTTTTATTCAAACGTTTCAATCCCTGTTTTTTTAACATAAATAATGGGATCCTCTTCAGTTTTTTAATTGAGTATTAAAAATATGTACTATATGTATGTAAACATGTAACTTCATATGTACCATATATCATATAGTCAGCTTGATGTCCTTGTGGCGGTACTATTGGGTCTGTCAGGGTGTTGGACAGCACGCTTGGGGTATCGATGCTCAATTAAAAAACTAAAGAGGATCTCATTATTCATGTTAAAAAAACAGAGATCCAACCATTTGAATAAAAGAAATAAACAGAAGTTGTTTTAACTTATTTAAGTGTATTTCATGACCTATTATCCAACTATAATTGATACTTTAAGTTATATATATATATATATATATATATATATATATATATATATATATATATATATATATATATATATCAAATATAGCAAACTTTTTATAAATTTGTTTATTTTTATTTCTGAAATTTTATCATTAATGACGTAAGGAAATGTAGGATAAAATGAAACTCAAAAATAATTAATGATTAATATTATCTGCTTAGAAAATATTCTTCCCTATGTACTTGTGCACAGTTCAAGGGATTTAACATAAAATATATGATCTATCAAAAGAAGAATTAACACTAAAATATTCAATGAACAATATAGATATAGCACATTTAAAACATTTTTATTTATTTTTTTTTTTTTATACATCTTATCAATGAAATCCTAAATTTTAGAGAATTTCCCAATCTAAATATCACAATAGTTTATTTCCATGTGTTTACTACATTAAAGTCATCTTGAAAATAGATTAACATTAAAAATCTAGTGCAAGAGAGAGTACAAATTATTTAAAATTTTAAATAAATCAAAGTATTTAAAATATTTTTTCACTGTCACATTTTAATATTTTTTCTTGATATACATCGACCAATTCATATAAAAAACATATACAATAAATTGAGTACTGAATATTTTATTCTACAACTAAAATTTTGTAATTCTTAACCCTGTAGAATGAAGATGACTGACTACCTTAGGGCTGGTTTACATGATCCGGCTTGTAAACTTTTACTGATGACCTCGAAGTTTACACCTTAAAGCCTGAGCAAAAAAAAAAAACAATAACTTTATTGGTTGGGCAAATTACACTGTTCTGCAAAAAAAGAAATGTTTTCATCCCCGTAAGTAATTTTGCTGATTTTTATATTTTCATGTGTGGTGAGTTCGAATCTGAAGTAAAAAAAATTCTATCAGGCATCAGTTTCAAGAAAATGAAAATTGTTTTAAAAAAAAAAAACTGATATAGCATGCTTTTTCTAACTTAATTTATTTTCTTGTGAATAATAATATATAAAATATTTAACTCTGAACATAATGCGACTTTATGCCTATTCAATGTGAATTTTTTTTCCCTTTTATAGTGTTCATCTGCTGTCTCGTTGCAGTGTCCAATAGTAGTCAGCACAAGCATCTTCTCATTGCATTTACCTCTATACCTCATCTCTATTTGGGCTAAATGTTGATGAAACCATTCTCCATGTTCATCTGAAACTGCTCCTAAGTCAGGAGGGATGAAATCCAAATGAGAGTGCAAAAAATGAATTTTTAATGTCATGTTATATGTAACCCATGGGCTTATATGATAAAAGCAATTCTTTAACAATGTCTATGTAATATATACCTCTTTTGTTGACAAAATATGTGCATTATTGCTGACACACTTTTTCAAATCCAGACAAAGCTCTTTTTTTCAGTTTCATTTAATTCTTTGAATTCCAGGTCCTTAAATAGAGCATAGATATGTCATAAAAAATTTTTGAAGTCTTATACTTGAGTTCTCGGAATTTTTTCATTTTTCATTGAAATTTTGGATGATAAAAAAATTCTCAAAATGTAGAAAAATACCTCACTTTTTGACCCAAAACACAAATTTGACATGAAATGGTGCCTGATATAGATTTTCTGCCTTTGGATTCGTGTTCAACATACCTCAAAACATATAAAAACTCATTTCTGGTAAATGGAGGATTTTGATGGAGAACAGTGTTATCATATCAAGTAAAATGGAGAATATAGAGAAAAAAAACCTATTGAATTGCAATAAAATTAGTAACTGGATTAAAAGACTAAACCAAACATTATTTTTAAGAATTTTGCAAAAACAGTAAAACATTTTTCAATCAAAACATAAGAATATAACAATTTTGTGAAAAATAAAAAATATTACAGATGCAAACAACAAGATTTAATACAAATGACTTATTAAGATTCTACTCATTACAAAAAAGATACAGAAAATGGAAATAGTGGACAAATAATCTTTAGTAGATATAGTTTGAAAATGGGATTATTATATGAAATCTTCATCAGTTTTTGGAGAGTGGAGACGCAAATCTTGACTATTCATCCTAATGTCCTATTAATTCGCGATGATCCACTCTCCACTCCTTTATCCTTAGTAACAGTAATTTAAAAAAAAAAAAAACTAGTACATTATAATGAGTCATAAAAAATGAGGAAATTCATTTCAGTGAGTCATAGGTAGTTCAGTTTAGTGATCACAGGAAAGAACAAGTTCATTCGCGATGATTCTTTCATTTCTCATGTCATATTTAAGTTATTCTAGTAAATAATATTTAATAAAAATAAATAATTCATTCCAGAAAGTCACAGAAGAGCTAGTTCATTTTAAAGAGTCAAAGAAAAGAGCTAGTTCACAGCAGTGAGTTAGTGGTTCTATTAGGACCTCATTCACCTTGGCCATAATTGCCTATAACTCTTGATTGCAACAGGTAAGAGATCTGCTATGATAGCAGAAAAAATAACAAGAAAACAAAAAAATTATCTATCACATGTTCTACAGGCCGTATCATGTAAATCTCACAAAATACTTCAAAGTTACAATAACTAAACTATACAATAAAAACTGTATCAAAAGTTCCTACATTTCCCCCCTAATGTCAAATTATTTATTCAACATATAATAAAATCAGATTTTTTTTTCTTTGTTTTTATTTTTTTTTTTTTACATTTATGAAATTCCATGACTGACATTTCATTCTAGGCTAATCTTTTTAGGTTTGATGTTAACAAACCTCACAAGTTAACAATCAATATGAATTGAAGATTGTCCATTCTGGGCAATGGCCCTTAGATCGTTAATGTGGCAGTAATGAAGTATAAAATAAAACAATGAAAACCAGGGCACATATTTTGAAAGAGATTATGCCTAGTTAATAGGTTGTCACCATGAAGGTACATGGCTTACAGAGCTGTATGGTGGTCAGCCATACTTATTCTCCATAACCTAAATAAGTGATTTTATATATATCTATATGAATATATATTTATCAAATGTATATGTATGTATAAAATTAATGATAATAATTAAATGTATGTATTTAAAGCATGAAAAAAATAAGACTAAAGTACAAATGGCTAGATTTGTAAAAAAACCTCTAGTAGGATATTAAATTATATTACTTAACTCATAATTAGTTAGTATATTATTAATTATTCTTTTGTCATAAAAAAATATAGCATATTAAAAGGTGCAGTTTAGTTCTCGTAGGTAATCATTTCATTAAAAATCCTAAAACTAACTGTATAAAAGCTACGAAAAGCTTTGGTTTTTCATTATTTTTATTTTTTGTCTATTTTGCCTCTTAAATTTCTTTTTTTATATATTTGATGAAGCCTCATTTTACTTTAGTATCTAGTAAAAAATGTCATTAGTTTTAGGATCCCTAAAAAGTGTTTCTTATGAAGGCAATGTCTTTAAGTACAAAAGAAATAGTTACGTTAAGACCCTCTGCCTGTCAAATAATATTCAGTAGTATAAGGTAAGTGGAAAATAATTGTTAGTAAATGACATAGTAAAAGTAAGAAAAAAATCTTAAATAAATATAATGTATCCACTTCCTTTATCTCAAAGGGGGTGATGTTCTGCCCCACATCTTCGTATGAATGGCTGGTATGTTACAAAGAAAAAAAAAGGAATAAAATAAATTAATAAGGAGATGAAGATGTTATAATTGCTTGGACGTCAGAGAATCACAGATCAAAATAAAAGTCAAAGACTTTATCACATTAGTAGACTAAAATAATTCTACCATTTTGTAATAAAAAAAAAATCAGTTATCATCAAATAATAAAACACATTTAAGAAAATAAATAAATTAAAAAAATAAATATATTTTTTAAGTACTTCCCAGTTATACTAGCACCACTAAAGGTTGTGTTGTTTATATTGTTAGGCACAACCACCAGATCTTATTTAATTATTAATAAACTGGACACTATTTTGTTATAATAGTCAAGCTCACTCTTAGGTTCTTCCAGGATGTCTCAACTAATAATTTTAAGAATTTTTGGAGGTCTGATTTTGATATTCTCTTACTTTCATATTTTTTTGTTATTCTAAAGTTCCTATATTTTGCTTCCCTCATCTTGTTTCTGTAGGGTCAAAAGGTTGGTTCATTTCCCCTGTATCTACAGATGGTACCTTGAATTTTATTATTGTATAATGTCTTTAGCAGCCTATGCAGGCTTGTTACCTCCTATCTGATCCTGATTCTATCATTATAGGTCAATCTCCTTTCTTCATGGTAAGCACACCTATCATTATAGAGAGAAGACTCAATACTGAGGCTTTCTGATATTCCCACAGAGGATTAGTTAATTAATAAAATATATTTACTGGAACTGAAATAATTTTCATCAATCAATTATATAATCATTTTTAGCTAATACATTAGGCAATGAGTGGTTGTAATGTTCCATTTTCAAGACAATACACCATTCACTTTAGAGGAGGCCAGATTCAATTCATAAATTTTATTGGTGAAAAATTTGTTATGTATTTTTTAATTGAAATGTGTTCATGAAAACGAACAATCAGAGAAAGTTAATAATTAAAATTTTTTGGATTCAGAACAAAATACTGTAACTGCAAGAATGTGCAATAAAGTAAAGTGTTAATTATTTTACAGCAAAGTTAGTTAGTATAAAAGACCTATAATTTGGTTAACAAATTCTACCAACAGCGCTACCAGCCCCTAGTAAACAGTGATAAGATAAACAATGATAGGAGAAGATTAGGCTCGTTATTAGTGGTGCCAATAAAACTGAAAAAATACAAAATAGAAGAAATAAATAAATGAGGATCTCTAAATGGAGATGGGAAATTGAAGATGCTCCATAGAAATTTGAAAGCGCTAGTGAAGCTTGCAAATTATTAGAAAAATAATGAAAAATGAACAGCATTTTATCTTTTTTGAATAGCTTTTTTTCATTCTTTTTTTTTTTTACAATATCTACAGATACTTTAGTGTAAGACAATTGACAGGCCTAAAATATCTTTTCTTTTTCTTTTTTTAAATGCAATAACATTATCATGAATAAAGGCATGAGCAAGATTGTGCAAAATATTTAGCACAAGTTTTAAGGATAGGATAAATACACAAGAAGACTTAATTCTTATTCCTATGCATAGTTAATAGACACTATAATAAAACAGTGGACCTTATATTATTAATATATATGTGTATGTATAAATAAATATATGTATACACACATACAAATAAACTAGTTTACAGCTTCTTAAAATTAAAGAATTGGACTCATTTATTGTATACAAGATGGTAATTACAAAGGTTAAGAATTAGGCTATTTAAAGTTTAATTGGAAACAGCATTAATGTACAAATATAAATTATAAAACATATGGATTTGGCAATGATGTGACTCCAGATCACAGACAACGGTAATTACCTGAGGTAAGTCGCCCATTATATAAAAAGAACAAAAATGCTCAGCAAGTAAAGCACCTGGTCTTTGCAATTTTACATGTATACAAATATTAGGAATAACTTTTAGACTAATAATATTATAGCATAAGGTGACATATAATAAAAATTATAATTAATATATAACAAAATAAAATAAACTGATTTTTATACACGTAAACTGGGATCATTAAAACAGTCTTAAGAATTGTATTAATTTCTTTTTCATCACTAAAAACTTATCATTCACAGATAAAAAGCTTGAATTGAATTGGATTTTAAATGGATCTTTCAATAAAATAAACATATTTTAATTTATTTTTTAAAAGGTATAATAATATATTTTGAAAAATCAGTCTGCAAATGTACATAAAATATTAAAAAAATACATTTTTATAAAAAAAAAATCCTTAATCAAATCAGTAAAATATTTAGTCAATAATAACAATAAAAGAAAAGCAATAGAGATCCTTTGAAGTTAGGGCAGCTTAATATATCAATATATTAAATAGTAGGAAAATATCACAAATAGATTTAGATAAAATAATAATTAACTTATATTTAAAAAAAAATTGCTATATTTTCTAATTAAAAGTAAATCATTAAAAAAAAAGAGAAAAAAGAAGTAAGTTCTCTATTCAAAACAAAAAATCACTAATATTGCACAAACAGTCAATATGGTTTGAGCACATAAATAGTTCAATGCAATGAGCAACCCATATCACTAGGATTATTTTTAAAAAGAGCAATCAAGAAACAATAGTGTCATTATAAATGAATATCGTTACAATTTCTTCGCACTAACAAAATTATTCATGAGTCCCAATCCAAAACATGAAACCAAACTCACATTTTGTTAGACCTAGCTTTTTCTTACTATAACAAGTCAGTATGGATTATAAATTTGTATAAGATTTTTTTTGGAATATTTTAACATTTTTTTATTGCGACAATGATTATCGTCATCATCATATTCTTTTCTCCTCCAATACCGCTATACAGAGTTAGATTGGTGCATGTAGAGTCTAAGAACGGTATCTCAACCTTGCACCAACTCTCTTCTTCTACTCTATACCAATCTATGCCTCACTTCCCAAATGTCTCTCAAACATTGTCCTCCCAGGAGTGTAGGATCTGCCTCTCAGTCTCTTTCACTCCACACTGGTCTCAAAGGTCTCATCTGAAGACTCTTTTGAGACTCATCCTCAAGGAGGTATCCAAACCACTTTTACTCTTGTGCTTATGTCCCTCTACGAAGGTCTTGGTTGGTTTAATTTAGAGTTTAGTTCTTCCTCTTTGTGAAAGTATCTCAACGGATTTGATCCGACTCTGGTGTTTTGAGTTGAGAATCCATAATTCAATCTTTACAAATTAAAAACTTTAATCATAAAAAAAATCATATTTACATTAATAGGATTTTCACTGCATAAAAATTCGGCTTCCGATTATTATTAACGCAGTTCAAGAAATATCGAGTATTATATATTTTAAGGAACTTACTAAATATTTTGGTAATATTATAGAATACCTATATTATTTTAGGAAGATTATGTTCATTTATACACAAATCAAACAAATCAGTAGTAAGGTGTTTTTAGAACATTGTAGGAAGAAATTCAATTTTTGAAAACAGAGAATGTTTGTAATAATCATTTGGGCACATGCCACAAGAACAGTCAGTGCATGTACCAATATTTTAACTATTCAGTTAATAAAAATAAATGAGACTATAAAAACTATTTTTGCTTTCATTCATAAATCTTTTGTAAATTTTTAAAAATGTTTAAAGATATATATTTTCCATCTTTGCCAGAAATAGTGTCTAGAAAAATTTTCTGCACAATTAACAATTACTTTCAAAAAAACAAAATAGATTTAATAACAGATTATAAAAATATTAATATGCATTGAATGCATAAATATTTTACAAATAATAAACAAAACAAAATCAAATTATCGAATCAAACTTCATAGTTCAATGGTAAAAAAGTTAAAATAAAAGCAATGACCAGATGCTTTTTCATAGCAAACAAAAAGGCAGCAAGTTACAGATCAGACTAAGACTAAATAATAAAGAAAACCAGTAGAAGAACTGCAGTAATGATGAGCGTGAAAGCGATGGCTACCACCAGCATCGTTATAAGCCAAGGTCACGCTGACGACACCAATGGCTGCTCTGATCCTCGACCTCCAAAACAAAGGCACCCACCGCTTCCAGATCCTCTTTTGAACACCATTCTCTCCTCACGTTCTCTCTCACTTGCACATTTGTCATAGTAATCAAAGTCTTTCAAGTACCTGCATCAATAATTGATTATATATTGTTAAGATTTTTATATTATTGTAAAAATTAAATACTCAAACAGTAATTTTATAGGTTTGCAATTGCAAAAAAAAAAAAAAAAGAAGATATGTATATATTAATATAACAATTAATAAAACAAAAGGAAAATTTATAATAAAACATAAAACAATTTTTTGTGGAGAAAAATTATATTAATATAAAAAAGAAAAACAGAGGATATTGATTTAGAATAATATCTGTGAATAACAGTTAATTTGATTTTCATTATTTAGTATTACTTTATACTTACTGACCTAAAAACCCATTTTTTGATAAGTCAAACATCTCAAAATTTGCACTAAATACATTGTATAATAGCATATTAAAAAATAGTGAAATATCAATTTCAAAGAAATTAGATGTCTACAATGCTGCTGTGAGATCAATAATTTGTTGTGCTTGCCAAGTCTAGGGATGTCATAGTTTTGAAGAAGTCGAAAAACTGAATATATTTTTCATAAAGAAGCTGTTTCCCCTTCCTATTAATTTACTTCATTATATTAAGAATCCAATTTTAGACCGATATACTTTTATACTTTATCTTTATATTTCCAATATAGACAAAGGGTACTTTCTTTACCAGCATCAATACTACTGAAAACTTGGCTAAAGGAATAATAAAACAGAAAATATTTTGGCACAAAGAAAACTCCGATCTATGTAATCCAATTATAATACAATAGTAATAAAATAATTTCCCATATCTTAACTAAAGATTAGATCTTGGAAAGGAGAATAATAAGAAGAATCGGAGGATTACTTGAAGAAGAAGAATACGGCTTTCGAGAAAATCGTAGCACCAAGGACCTTATCTTTAGCATGAGACAAGTTTTCAAAAAAGTATTGGAAAAAGAAAAGGAAACGTTGGTGTGCTTTGTTGACCTTACAAAAGCCTTCAATCGGGTGAGAAAGTCTGATATCTTGGAGGCCTTGAGAGTAAAAGGGATTGATCAAGGTCATGTCCTGGCGGTTGAGAGTCTCTACAAAAAAACAAGAAATATAGTAAGATTTGCCAACTGCACTTCACAGGAAATCAAAACAACGGTTGGAATCAGGCAAGGTTTTAGTCCACTTTTGTTTATTCTAGCAATGGACTCAGCAATACGAAGGGCTAAAGGAAAAACGCGGAAATTTCACTTGGGATATGCCAACCCGAGATCAGTGAGCCTCTCAATACTTGCATTTGCTGATGACGTTATTTTTTCGGAAAATGACAGGAATCTTCAATACAATATTAATAAATTAAAAGAAGAATTGTGGAAGATTAATATGATTATTAACCCTGCAAAAACAAAAGTAATAAGGATTGGGATGAAGCCTGGGAGAAATATGCGCATCATCAGAGTCCAAGACAAAATTCTTGAACAGGTAGAAAACTTCAAATACCTGGGTACACAGCTTAATAAAAATGGATACATCGATTCAGAAGTGACTGAGCGAATCGCTGCTGTGAGCAGGATGTTAGATGCAGTTAAGAGAGGTTTTCTAAACAGGCAAGAGGTGGAAAATAAAATAAAGGTGGCTGTTTTCAGATTGAGATTTTTTCCAATTTTAACATTCAAGGTTAAAAGTGATCGAAATGAGATTCAACAAGAAGAGACAGAGTACGCAACACCATCATCAGGTCGACCCTCAATATTAAGCTGGCTGGATGTGATAGAAGAGAATTGACTGAGATGGCTAGGACATCTTCTGCGAATGGAACCGAACAGGATAGCTAGCAAAGCCTATCGAGCTAAAGTAGAGGGCAAGAGAGGAAGAGGACGGCCTAGAAGGAAATGGGAAGATGGGGTAAAGAGCGATTTCCAGAGAAGAGGTCTTCAATGGGATTTTGGAAGGTGTCTTGTGGAAGAACTGCAGAGCTGGAGAAGGCTCTATAAACTTCCTCCTCACACTGCTTAATGCGGTTCAAGAGGATGGATTATGATGATGATGACCTTTCCCATCTGCAAAATTTACTATACAAACATCAAATGTTCCACCTACATTTATATTTCTCCCATTGACATTTGTTAAAATGAATTTGTTTTTGATAGTCAGTACCAAGAGAAATTATCTAACAATTGTTTCATTCAACATTGCATCAAAGCTATCATAGAAAAATAATTTTTTTTAAAGGAAGTGGAAAATAGCCGACTAATTTCTTAAATAATTTTATTTACAAAATAAAACTGTGAATATTAAAATGAATAATACATAAAATCAAATATCCAGTGAAACAATCACTGGATAAGGATAGATATATTAAAAAATAAACTTTTAGTGAAACTAGATTTCAAACATAAAAATAAGTTTCCCTTAAACAGAAAAATTAAAAATAAGAATGAATATTTGAAAAAATGACTACAAAAATATATCAGTTAGTTGATATTGGACTTATGAAAGTAAAGAACTCAGGAGTTAATTAATAGTGCCAATGAAATAAAGATCTCAGTTACAGTTGAACAGAAACAAAAGTGTACACTTTTATTAGCTAGCTATTAATAAAAATACTTATATTTTTGAGGAACCTGAAGAAATAAATTCGAAGCATAGGAAGAAAAAAACAAGAAGACATTAAAAAAGTAACATAATAATAATAATAATACTGCATTAAATTTATAAATAAATACTCATAAGACTAATCCATGAATGATTATTATTCTTGGATATTTAAAAAAAAAAAAGTCAATCCATCCTCTTTTTTCTTTTTATCATTTATGGTTATATTATTGTTCTAAAAAAAAATTTGATTTTTGTTTCATAAAATATTTTTATTAATCAATTATATGAGTGGCCTAATATCAAAGACAGACATCAGTCATTTTTAAAAAGGTTTAGGAAAAGTTAATGTTCGTAACATAGCTTCAATTCCTTTAAATCATAATAATTTTTTTTCATGATTAAATCTAAACATTTTAAATTAAAATAATTTGAACCTATTAATTGACAGTTTGAGTTGAACCTATAAAACAAAATTTGATTTTTTCTATACTTTCTGAAAATGGCAGATGGCTATCTTTGATAAGAAGCCACTCATATTTATGTATAATTTTTAAAAATCTTATTTTGCATCCAATATCCTAAACTACTAAACTACTATTTTAACATATGTACATTTTCAAAAATTACCAACTTAGAATAAAAATTAATGAACAAAAAATAATAATTTTATTAAAAATCAATAATAGATTGATGTTATTTTTTTTTTATTTGAAAGTAAATAGAATGAATTTAGGATTCTTAGGCAACTTAAATTTGTTTTGCTTGATATAGGTTAAATAAATGCTCTGTGTATGCATGAGTAAAACTGATGCATGAGTTTTAGTTTATTCATGATTATGTCAATATATGAGATATTGGTTTGTACCTTGTTAAAAAACAGTTTGTTAGCAGAACAGGTGATAAATATTTCACTTTAAAAATACGCTTTGTTATTTCAATAACAAATAATTGTAATTCATTCAGGTTAATATTGTATAATCAGGCTTCAGTGAGGTCTTTAAATTGCTACACAAAGCCCTTGCCTTCTACAGACTGTAGCAGGGTCTGAACTAGGAGAGAGGAAGGGAGGGTTCTGCTTGTCCCGAGCAACAGAATCAAGTAAAATTTGGATACATCACTAGAATAAATCCCATCCAAGAACCTAATATGCTTTGTAAGATGTACAAAATTTCTATGGGATATCTTGACAAATAAATGGGGAAAAGATCCATATGGCTAACGATGAAAGATTTTCTTTACCCTCAACATAATAATAATTTAGACTTTGAAGTTTAATATTTAATAATGTTTGAAATGTTTTGACAGTTTGTTATTGGACCTTAAAAATTATTTACACGAAGTACATTTTTATGAAATAATAATGGTTAATTATTAATCTGGTGTATTTACTTTTAGAATAATGCCAGAACAAGGGAAGGCAGAATTTATGAGGCAGAATTTAGAGGCCACCAAATTTCGGAATAATTTTCTTTTCTTTTTTTAAAAGAAAATATACTTAAGGAATAAAATAACATATAATATGTAATAAATGAAATAATATGTAAATCACCTGAAAGGAAACCTTAAATTTAGTTATATTTTTTAATTTGGTAGATGAAAGTTATATGATTTAAATTGGTGCAAATTAAAAACTAATTTATTTTAAATAGAACAATCATACATTATGAATGATAAAAATATTGCTGAAGAATTGTATTTTTAATTTAATATTCTAAAACTACAAATCATAACAACATAATTAACATTCTAGAGGTAATTATGTACATTAAGTGGTAATTTAATTTAAGTAAATGACTCACCAGACTGGAGGCCACCTGTGCTCGGTGAGATATTCTTGATTATCTGGATGAAGGCTGCGTAGAAGCTTAGGTGACATTTTGCACAATTTGTTGTAGTTGGTGCAGAGGTGATTCATGCACCAATCTGCCAGCTGGTCTGCATTGTGTAACTGGAAAAAAGTTTTCAAAACATCTGTAAAAATAAAAAATAAAACTTTATATATATTTTCAAATGATTTTCTATTCACTTCTTTTTCTTCTGCATGCTTTCCTAGGATACAAGAAAATTTTAAAAAATAGCCCTTGGAAGGTCCTTCAGGTTTTTATAAATATCATCAAATAAGCTAGTTTTATTATATTTACTTATATTGTTCCTCAAGAACAATACAGTGTAGAACTGGACAAGTTAAACTGCCTGATTTCCTAATAAACGTGTATACCATTGATTAGGGTTTTTTGAAGTCCAGGCAAGCTTTTTAGGTTATTATTGTAATCATATAAGGAGAAATACTGTGAGATTTAAAGAATAGGATACATCTGAATTATTTTATGGGAACAACATATTTTTCATTACTTTTTTAATTATTAACAATACACACAAATATAACTTCTTTTTTTTTCTTTCTTTTCTTTTTCTGTTGGCATTACAGACCATGTAGATCTTTTGCCCTCTTAACAAGCCTGCCCCATCTCTGCCTGTCTTGGGAAATTTCTTTTCATTTATCCGCAAGCTCTATTGCATCTTTGTTGATTCTATCTATTCATCTGCTTTTTGACCTTCCAAGTGGTCTTTTGCCTTATTTAAGGTTATTAGCCAGAGATTCACAGGGAGATGAGCGACACCTGTGTCTTACACCATAACTCCTGGTCCTCCAGGTTAGGGGTTGGGTATATGGCTAATAAACCTATCCCGAAAAAATCACCTTATTACAAAACTATAAATGTAACTATTGACAAAATATAAAAATATGTAAATAAATGTAAACTGTCTATTCAATGAAACATACCGTCTTATCTTATCTCTTACTATAGATGTGCTGTAAGTCAAAAGCAGAAAATAAGAAAACTAAGATGCGCTGGCCTTGTTGCTAGAGCTGTCTTAACAAGTTGTTAAAGTTATCTGTAATTTATTTAGAGAGTGCTAAAGCAAATTTCATGTATTGTTACAAACCTTGCACGGTTCAAGCAGCCTGAGGCATATCTCTACAACATCTCCATTGTCTGTAGAGTTGATGACCCTGTTCAATTCTTCAACAACTCTTTTCTCAATCAGGTGTACCAACCTGGGGAGGCATAGCCTATTGGCCAGCTCCAGTAGGTCTAAGCAGCGTGATGGCAATACTGGACCCACATCATCCCAGTACAGATAAGTCAGAAGAACTCGGAAGCTATCTGACCTTACTCCAGGGAAGAGGATCTGAAATAAAAAATAATATAAAATAAATCTTGATTACTTTAAATATTAATATGCAACAAAATTTGATGATATGAATGAGAAAATAATAACTTCAAATTTTATCTTTTTCCTGTCAGGGTAATCAGATTATCAAGACCCTTACATTGGCTACCTCTCTTTCTTACAACCAAGTATCCTTACTATCGTAAGGCTCGAATATTCTATAACCAAAAATTGATAAACGAGAGTTTTTCTTTAAAATATTATTACTTAGTATGTATTTTATTGTTTATCCAACTTTTTTTATTTTCCAAAATTCACTTATATAAAATATATTCTTTATCATTATTTCGATATTTAATTTTTTCTTTGCATTGTGTTTTTGGCTTACTACATGGTTGGGTCCAAACGCAATATCTAAAATTTAATAAAAAAACAAAACCTATTATTTATTGATATTTACGTAATGACCACGGAGACCATTGTCGCCGTGTTATAAAAACAATAAAGAAAAGACATAATCCCGAAGCAGACAAAAGTTTACAATAAAAAAAATCTGGTGTGTCCACTCACACGACTTTCCTACCTATTTCAGAAATTTTTTTATATCTTTACATATGTTCATGAAGAAACAAAAAAGAATTGAACTACATTTATTTTCCTGAAAATTGATCAAACAAAAGATTTGAGTACAATTTATTAGATAAACTAAGGCAATGAAACCGGCTTAAGGTAGTTCAGTGTAAAAATTTCGATACTCAGTAAGATTGCTGATCGAAAACTTTTTGCTATAGCTTAGTATTGTCAAACAATAATTTCTGTTAAAAGTAGAGGAAATAGTGAAGATTGTGTGATGCGGGCTAAAGTAAACTCGTAATCTTTCATTGGAAATTGAATATCGAAAGGACAATGATTAGAACATTATAGGAGAGTTTAATCAAAATCGTTAGAGCCGTTTTTGCACTACAGTCTACAGAAAAACGTGTTTATTGCGCGCAAGGTATTGCGCATGGAGCACCGAATTTCTATCACAGGCATCGGTAGTCAAAACTCTACAAAATAAAAAAAGAAGCAACAAAATCGGTTCAGTAGTTCCCGAGAAAATCTTGGCACAGACAGACAGACCAATGGCTAAAAATGTGTTTTTCTGACTCAGAGGGCTCTGAAACGGATAGATCCGTCGAAAGCCACATGTCGAAAATTTGACCCGATTGCAATGTTTTCCTTACCTAGAATAGGTAGGAAAGTAAAAATATACTTAAGCAGTTTTAAGAATAACCTTTTTTTCAGTTTGGAACATAGAATTTGGAGCACATCGTAAGTATATCATAAGCATTCTCACTTTCACGCAAATTCAAAAATATAATACCCATTATAATAAAAATAGCCATTAAAAATAATATAAATTAAAAAAAATAATAATAAAATAATCACACACACATAGACCATTTTTCGGGACTTGGTTATTTGGAGTCAGGGGACCTCAAAACGTGTATTTCCGTCGAAAACTCAGATTCAAAAAAATTCACGATCGCAATACTTACACTTACTGTATATTACATATATAGGTAAGTGAAGGTGGGCGGGGTAGCCGAATGGGCTAAAGCGTGTGCACTGCACCGCCGTTGCCTGGCAACCTGACATATGAATTAAAGATATAAAAATAGTCACGAGTTCGCATCCCGGTGCCGAGGGAGTCTTTTAAATCCCCGCCCACACTCCCTGGCCCGGGAAAATCCCGTATAGCCTTTAACGGCGAGGAAGGGAAGGACCAAAAAAAAAAAAAAAAAAAAAAAAAAAATATAGGTAAGTGAAATTAAAAATTACCGCTGAAATCACGGACAAATCTTTAAATGGGGAACCAGGACGTAGGTGGAAGGATTGTGTTAAATTCATTCTTGAAATTTATTTTGTATACATCTTCTCCCTTGAAGCGGTCAATAAAAGATATGCATTTACTGTTTTCAATACGGTAACCATAAAGCGACAAGAGACAAACGTACCGGCACTGAGCCCATATGTCAACAGAGAGACTAAGTCACGCTATGCCCTCAGCAATAGTAGCCAATTCTACTTATGTTATATGTTTACCGCTAGTTAGTAGAGGATTTATGTTTAACTTTGGGAAGGGAAGCTAATATATATACCTATACCTATATACTATATATCAGAATTGACGCCATATAATTTTGGCCATTTGGCGATTTAAGCATTTGCTTAAACAATCATAATATGGTCTCATTTTAAATAATAACGCTGGTACTTCAGATACTAAATGTTTTAAATTAAAAAGATTAGAGTCACAAAAAAGGAAAAAATATAGGTTCAACAACTAAATCAGAACGAATACCGTTATTTGTTTTTTTTTTCTTACCCCCAAAGATAAAAAAAAAAACCCTTGTACTCCCTTGTACTGCATTGGTCCTGTGAATTTCAAGGGAGTTATAAGGAGTTAAGAGGTTTTAAAAATTGTTACGTGCTGAGTCGTTAGTCTAGTGATGGGGCTGACTAGTTGTCTTGTGTCCGTCCAGTTAGTTAGTAGCCCTCAGTCAAGTCAAGTCTGAGACTTTATGTAAGAGTTTCCACCTCTGTGGCCGCCCCGTCGGAGTTAGTGTCTTGAAAAGTGGGTGCGTATTGCAGACAATAAAAAAAAATGACTTTACAGCGTATTATAAAGTCTGTTACAGTCGGTAGTTCAAAAGTCTTGTTGGTCTGTTTTTGTCCTCTGTAATGATGTATGTCTCACAGTACGTTTCAGCACTCCGTTCTGAAACTGCTGGAGCTTAGTTGCCGATGAGTCTGATATATTTGATAACAGCGTTCCATGAAGAAGTTCCGGTCTTAAAACACTTTTATAAATTAATAATTTGAGGAGGAGGGATATATTTGGTAAGGTCAACAGATGATTTAGCCTGTAAGACTTGGTCTTAACCAGCTTAACCTTCTTCTGGCAGTGACAAAATATTGTTAGGTGCCCGTCAAGGGTGACACCCAAGTACACTATGCTCTCTGCTGGCCTATTTGTTTTGCCTGCTACTCTAAACAACTTAGGAAGTGGGCGTGTATTCTTCTGAAAGGAAAAAAAATTATACAGTCGGTCTTCTTTGGATTAACTATAATATTAAGTCCTTCCAGTTTCTTTGTAATTTCTTCACAGGCCACCTTCCGTAGAGCTCTCGTTACGTTTAAGGAGCTACTGTAAATTGCAATGTCATCTGCATATGCCGCTATAGTAGCTTTGTTATACTTTGCTTCAACATTTTCAGCCGTGTACGGTGAGAATAGTATTGGTGATAGCATAGACCCTTGGGGGACACCGCAGATGAGTGCTACATCTCTGGATAGACCATATCTAAATCTTACTCTGATTGATCGCTGCAGTAGAAATGACCGCAATAGGGTATATGGAACTCGTTGTTCTGCAGAGTCTTGCATAGAAGTCCATGAGAGATTGAGTCGAACTCCTTGGTAGTCTATTGAAACCATCGCGGTCACTTCATTTTTAGCAGTATTCTGGCTCACTTCCACCAACGAATACCATTTTTTTTTTCCTACCCCCAGTTGGCCTCCAAGGAATACCATACTCAATATTGTCATATTAAATGAGACGAATCAAACTAAAATAATGAGAATATACTATCATCACATATTTTAGATATCGTAAACTTTTTTTTTGTTATTTTTATAGTATGTAACTTACTTAGGGCATATACATGGTGCCAGTCGCTGGCATTCCAGTTGACTGGCACATTACCGTTTAAGGTCATTTACACGGTGCCAGTCGTTGGCATTCCAGATAAAGTTTACACATTACGATTAATTTAGAACAATTCGAGTGTTATGCGGGATTTAAAATACGTATTTATTTATTTAGTTCCAACAAATGCTCGAAAAATAGTATAAATTTGCAATTCAGAAACCTGTGAGATCACTTTCTACCACGTTAAAGAGGCCAGCAAAAGTTTTCATACATTAACTGATATGTTATAAAAAAACAACAATCCTTTCCTACATTTTTTTTATTTGGACGCCCAATTATAAATTCAACACAAATCTTATCAATATTGTAAAAATTGTTTGCATAACAATAAAAACATACTTTTTTATAACAAATTAAATTATAAAATAAGAATTTTAATGTAGCAAGAGTTTTCATTTTACCAGGATAGTAACCCTTAGCCCAAACGGTTATTATCCAAATAAACATAGAACTCCTCTCCAGAGTCCAGATTTGAATCCCATCGAACGTTTATGGACTTATGTCGATTAATAGCTCAGAAATCAAAATATATGGAAAATTCTATTCGACTTCAAAGTTGATCTAATCAATGCCCAAGTGGTACTCTAAAACGAAGAAATGTAGTCAGTCCGTGTATGGAAACGTTTTCTGGTCACTGTATATGACTAAGAGCTTTTAGAAGTAAGAAGAAGTAGGAGCTTCAGAGCAGAAGAAACAAACAAAAATCATGGTTTAGAACTTACATCAATAATAGCCGTTTAGGAATATCTTAGACAGTTATAAGAGAACCGCATGAAAATGATCCACACGAATTCAGGACAGTTATACGAAGTCGGTTCCTCTGCCACTAAATTTTGTTTTTTTTTGTAATTTTTGACAGCTAAAAACAGTATGTTGACCACAAGGTCTTAATTTTATTTGGTATATTTTATATAGGGAAGTTCGTGGTATTTATCTCGTCTATAATAGCATGCATAAACGCATTCTTGGCCTCACCATTGCGATATTCTCTGTTCCAGAATTTTACTTTAATGGATTAATTAGGAAATAGATTGACCTAATCTTGAACGGCCTTAGTCACCTTGAGGGTACACATTTTGGGATCTCAGATATCCAGCTACAATGACCATTTACGATGGAGTGATATTGGATATTCTGAGACACGCCTCTCCTGCGTGATCTCAGAAAATCTCACACCGCCAGAAACGCAGGTTGGCGACAATTCAACGTACGGCTTTGTTGCGTGTCCCCAAGTCATACCGAAAAAGTGTCTCACGAAACAGTACAGATCTTAACAGGATGGGTAACTCTCGATATTCTTCTGCGCGAAGACGCATTGAAATTGAATTTCAAAAGAGAAGGCTCAGGAGATCTTTCAGAAAATATCCGCGAGAGGATTGCTGAAGACTCAAAAGAATGGAAAAGGATCATCCGGAAGGATTGCACAGATGAGTAGAATCGGCGGTGAGTGACAACTTCGAAAGGAGCAACCTTGAGATAACTTTTCCCCTCCGTCCGAACTCCCTTGGATTATCCTGGACTACTGAGTCTTTCAATTCCTTACAGGGAATGGGAGTTTTCGCGGTAAGTTGAATAGCCTTGGAAAAGACATAGGTTTCCTATGTCCCATTTGCGGAGTAACGGAGACGACAAGGCACGTCATTTACAAAGATTTTGTTTACGGATGGGAAGCTGCTCTGGGGCCGGCACACTTTAGTGAGGGAAGAAGAGGAATAGCTTATGGAATGTCGCCAACTATCTTATGGTGACATGAAAATGAAGAAATGTTTTTTTCTTAATAAAATAAATAATAAAGCGTTAAAATATGTATTGTTTAACAACAGAGAAGGCGTATACGTCTGTGACGTCATCCCAGCAAAATCTCATGTAGCCGAAAGACAAGGTAGGGGAGGGGAAATTAATAATTTTTTACTCTCACGGTATTAAGGTACAAATTTTAAAGTTTTTTCCTTATTCCAACGAACTGCCATTTCTTACTCAACAGAATGTTTAAAGCTTAATTAGTAGACGGCAGTTGTTTAACATAGTACTTCAGATGACCCTACAATCGAAGTGGGAGAGAAATGACAAATTCCTATTATGATCATATATGCCATTACTCATTTATTTGAAATGACAATTTGCTAAAGTTATATTAGGAATATTGGCGTTTGCACAGGATGTCTTGTTTTGAAATTTTGGTAATATTGTCTTCAGCTAATTTGTATTCAGGTGTAATTTTTCATCAACCTCAAAAAAAAAGTATTTAAACCTTGTTTGACTATTTGTATAAATATTTTGGACAATTTGTTTTGCTGGTTAGTTATACCTTGCAGACAGTAGGGGCCTGTCAATGTGCCAGTCAAACAAAAATATTTGTTCTACTGGCATATTCCAGTCGACTGGCGGGCCAGTCCTTCCTAGTCTCTCTTTCGTGAACTATTTACTACCTACCTCGCTATTTCTAAAAGAGGGAAGTTTGGCATATGTTGGGCTGTTCAAGAAGTACAACCAAACCTATTCTAACCGGAGTGGAACGAAACGCTCGATTTTCTTGGCTTAAGTTTTTAAACCAGATATTCCCTTTAAATAATTTAAAAGTTAATACTGTATGTAATTTGTTGTGCAGAATTTAATGGTAAAGCATGTTTGGTGGTAAGAGAAATGTGAAATATTGCTTCTTAAATTTTATTAATCATTTTATTTTTTTTCTAGTTCCTACCACAACCTAATTTTACATAAATTTAACAAGCAGATATATCTTTTTAATAAAAGCAATCAAGCGGTTTCTCCATACTTAATATTTCAATAACTATTATTTATTTTATTATAACATAACATAAACACAACTAGAGCCAAAAACTAATCTCATATATTTTACAAAAACTAAAATAATTATATTTAAATATTAACAACTTCTAAACTGGAAGGATACATTGTATTAAAAGTTTGGGAAAATTTGTCTTCAGCTAGAATGTAAGTTAGCATTTTTGGAAATTTTTATCCGCCTAAAAAAAAATCATATTTAAATTACGGTTTGTTTTACTGGTTAGTCATATCTAATCCCGAGTAGGCGCTTGTCTGCGCGTCAGCCAATCAAAATATTTGTTGCCAGTGCCTCGCTGGCCTCTCCAGTGACTGGCATGAACCGTTTACTCGCTATCAGTCGCTGGCATTCAGTGACTGGTGACCTCAACTAGCGCGCCAACTGGCACGGTGTAAATGAGCCCTTAGTGTGATAAGTCAGAGAAAAGTTTACTATAGTAATTTAAAAACAAT